TCTTGTGTTACATGAGACTAATTTATAATTTAAAATTTTTCATTTCCAGTGATTCTGGCCTGAATCCCACCATGCCAGTTACGTCAAATTCAGGTAAATGTTTTGCTGAGGATCTTTCTGCAGTCATGAGCCAGGTCTCCATTCATTGGGTTATTTGTTCTTAGAAATGAGAAAATAGCACCTGGTCTCTTAACAGTAAATGTATTAGCCCATGAAGAATGTGGCCCTGAAACACTATTGCGTCCTCTGATCAACCCACCAGAGCCCCCTCTTTGCAAAGATGCTGGAAAGCCAAGAATCCAATGCCCGTCAGCCTTGCACTGAGGAATCCTTTGCAGCTTACATTACCACAAGCTACAAGCAGAGACTAGAAACCTGGAATTTGCAACAGAAGGGCAGCATAGCAGAGCTGCAGAGGCAGCAGCAAAACACACACACACACACACACACACTCAGGATTGCCGAACCATTTGACCTGGGATGAAAGCTCCCTCGCTTCAGACACAGTGCTGAACAAAGGCTACTTCATACAGCTGCCAGGCACTTGCTGCCAGGCGTATGGGAGGCAGAGAGCTACAGCTCAGCTCCCAGAAGCACAGACGTTTCCAGCGTATTCCTCTGAGCATTCACCTATGACCGGATTGTTTTGCATATCCCTGGGGCCCATTGGGCTGTCTTTCCGGCCAAAACCGGTGGCCCAAATACAGTCCTTGGTAGCCACTGTGCAATCAGTTAATGTTAGTTAATGTTCATTAGGAAATGTTGCTTGTGGGTCTTCAAGGTGAAAGGGAAAGGGAAGCTGCTGAAAAATGGGTGATATCTGTTTTTTTTTAAAAACAACATTTCTCTCCTGACAGTTTGTTGTCTCATAGGGCTGTTACCTATTACTCAGTTGCATATTTCCACCGATGACACCTCACAGCCTGAGCGTGAGTAATATGGCAGCACTTCTGTTCTGTGACGTGCAGCTTGCTCGGCAGCCCAGCTCCCTGTGGGAGTGTGACGCAAGCAAGACAGCTGACCTTCACGGCTCTTTCAGTGTCACAAAAATGCCCCCGTTAGTCTGTCACAACAGCGTGTGGTTCAGCCCATCGCCCAGCTGCGTGCTCCGGGTTCAGGTTCCTGGCTTTTCTTGGCCTTGGGTTGCAGTCTGAAGTGTGTTTACCAAGAAGTCTGTGCACTTGAGCTCAACAGCACTGACTTCTGAATAAACCTATTTCTTTGGATTTTTCTCCTCAAGCCCTGGAGGTTGAGTAGGTTAGCTATAAAATGTTAATCCTCACAACCAAGTTTAGTGGTGATTCTCTCACCACATCCCCATTCCTAGCCTCCCCCCCCCCATCTAATTCCTCCCCCCTTAAAACTCAGTTGCTTCAAGAGCCCTCTGTCTGGTCACACTACAGGGACAGCACAGCAGAGCCGCAATCTCACAGGACAATGCTTTCAGTGCTTGGCGGGGCGGGGGGGGGGAGGCCCATTCTCAGTGGTAGAGTATATGCTTTGCCAGTGTCTCTGGTTTGTTCCTGACAGCATCTCCAGTTAAAGGTTCTCAGGGAGCAGTCATTTGAGAGACACCTGTCAGTGCCTAAAACCTCAAAGAGCCACTGCTTGTCAGAGTAGGCAGCGCTGGGCTTGATGGACCAGTGGCTGAAGTCAGTAGCTTCATACATAGCTTTGCAGTGTTCCACTTCTGTCCCTCTGACTACCTTGGGAACAATGCCAGTGTTTCCATCTTTCAGGCGGCCGCCTGGTGGATGGGGAAGCAGGGCATAGGACTAGACTGAATGGGGTATTAAGGAAGGGGACAGAAACTTTCTGGGGTATGGTACTTGATTGGGGGAACGCTTGCCAAGACACCGATGCCACGCTCCCACAGGTGACTTTTCTGTTCCAGTGCTACGATATTCTTCCTGAATCTTCCACAGATTCCTCCGCGCGCATGCACGCACACACACACACACAAAAAGTGCCATTTCATTTTTGTTTTTTGCTCAAATCTATTCAATTTATACTTGTCAGTTTTTGTTCAGTTTCCATATAGCTCAGGATTTTTTTTTAACTTGGACAAGGTGTATCCCCCTACAGCTCCTTTCTGAAGAACACATACCAGTTTTTGGCTTTGCCACATTTGTCCACTTGTAGGGTCTGCATTGCTAATGTTTTTGCACTCTTCGAATGAGCTCTTCAGTACCACAGGTCTTTGTCCAAAAAATAAACATAAACTTTGAGAATCACTGATCAACTGTCTGTACCATATTAAGCTACTGTCATTTCCTTGAACACGTTAGTCCTCAGTGTGACAGGCAGTGAACTCTTTTCTACTCCAACATTTGGAGAGCAGTGTAAACCGACTCAGTATAAACTAGCTGAGACAGCAGTGGATCGGGATCAGGTTGCCTCTGAATTCCCAAAAAGCAGTGGGGTGAGAAGAATTCTTTCCCCTCACAGGCCTTCCCCTCCCCCTGAGACTGCTTTGTAGTCCTTGATAGGAGGAGCCGGGCCAGCCAGGGGAGAGTCCGTTGTCCAGACTTGCTTTATAGCAATTTGGAATGATCCAAGGTGGGAGTCCTGCTTCATCATATCTGACCTCAGAGTCAGAGCTACCACATCTGTTCCGGGGGTTGCCCTTACCTTGCTGTTATCTCCCCACAGGTAGGAGGAATGCCCCTCCGCTGAACCTTACTGGCCTCCCAGGCACAGAGAAACTGAATGAGAAGGAGAAAGAGGTAAGCAGAAAATGGAACACAACAGCCTTTAAATGGCTTTTGGCCCTCCAATGACAGAACGGGGCTGATTCCAAAATCATCCCAAGCACAACTGTTCAGCATTGTCCCTACAAGTGGCTTTGGCTGACGTCCACTTGGATTTATCATAGTGCAAGAACACAGTGCAAAATCTTGCAAGCATTCCTTCCCGCAGCAGAGGATTTGTCCTCATTCCTGTTTTTAATGGTTTCCATCCTTATCGTTTCAAAGACAGACTCACACCATAGCTCGTAGACTACCTGGGGATTCACCCTGACCCACGGCTAGGAGGACATTTGTATGCACCCACATGAAGCCTATATTTATGTGTGACTAGAACAGCCTCCAGGAATGCCGGCTTCCAGACACACTTGCTCAAAGAACTCACACTGGCCCAGCCATTTATTTATAGGGAAATAAAGGTTAATATGTATGAACGTGGACCTGTGTGCGTGTGAGACGGCCGTGCGAGAAAGGGGGTGTTGAGGAAGTGGTGTTCATTGTGCTGAAGGTAAAGGATCTGGATTAATCTCTGGCAAAGAGAGCAGTGCCCCTCTCTGTTTCAGAGGAGTGGTGGTGAGAAGTACCAACAAGTCACAGCTGATTTATGCTGACCCTGTAGGGTTTTCAAGGCAAGAGACTTTCTGAGGTGGTTTGCCTGCCTCTGCGTCTTGTATGCCTTGGAGGGCTTCCATCCAAATGCTAGCCAGGGCCAACCCGGGAATACCAGAAGATTTTAACGAGACCATTTGATACCCTGGGTGTCTTTTGGGCTGCCCCCTCTCTCTCCAGTCATAATAGCAGGCCAGCTTTGTTCTTCAGCTCTTAAGACAGATCACCAGGTAACCACTAATTCGGTGCTTCTGGCACTTTCCAGTGTTGTAGGTGAACGTTCTTGTCTGCAGTGCTTATTTTCCTTAAATCTTATATCTTCGTTGTTTCGCTCCTGTTGGGTTTCGGGGTAGGGGTGTGTGTGTTTTTTGGTCAAAGTGTTTTCTTTAATAAAAGAGGGGGGAAATAGGCAGTTGGTGTCTCCAGTGGGGTCATTACAGCAGAAGGAACTTCAGAGGAGATCAAGATGTTGGGGAGCAGCTGGTGCAATTACTGGCTTACCAAACTGAACCTGAGACCTTTTCAGAAGTGCTGTTTCAGTCTCCAGAGGGGGGTGGGGGGAGCTGCCTTGTAATAAAACCTCCCAGTTCTTGAGAACCCAGTGTCTGCATAGCCTCCTAAGCATACCAACCCTGCTGTCTCGCACCAGATAGAGGGAAGGGCCAGTTTAAGAACATAAGAGACGCCAATGTTGGATCAGGCCAAAGGCCCATCCAGTCCAACACTCTGTGTCACACAGTGGCCAGAAATACCAGTGCCATCAGGAGGTCCAGCAGTGGGGCCAGGACATTAGAAGCCCTCCCACTGTTGACCCCCCCCAAGCACCAAGAAGACAGAGCATCACTTGCCCCAGAGCCCCTAGCTATACCTTGTGGCTAATAGCCACTGATGGACCTCTGCTCCATATGCTTATCTAATTCCCTTTTGAAGCCGTCCATGCTTGTAGCCGCCACCACTTCCTGTGGCAGTGAATTCCATGTGTTAATCACTCTTTGGGTGAAGAAGTACTTCCTTTTATCCGTTCTAACCCGACCGCTCTGCAGTTTCATGGAGTGCCCACGAGTTCTTGTATTGTGAGAAAGGGAGAAAAGTACCTCTTTCTTTACCTGCTCTTTCCCATGCATAGGGTGGTAGGGTGAGGAAGCGACCAGCCTTCATCTGACTGTAGGGGCTTAAGAGACAGCTGGCCATGTGGGCTTCTCTCCATGATGCCGAATCAGTGGTTGCCTGGCTATATTTGCTAGCCCTGTTAAGAAACAAGCTCTTCTTTTCCCTCTCCTGGCAGACCCAGCAGAGATTTGGAGGACTGGATTGTGTTTCTCTCCCATCGCCGGGGGGGGGTGGGATGGTGGGAGGGGGGCCATGTGGTGAGCTGTGAATGACCTTTGGCTTTCTTTCCCAGCTCTGTCAGGTGGTCCGGTTGGTCCCTGGAGCCTACTTAGAATATAAAGCCGCCTTGGTCAACGAGTGTCACAAGCAAGGCGGCCTGAGGTTGGCCCAGGCAAGGGCCCTCATCAAGATCGATGTGAACAAAACCAGAAAGATCTACGACTTCCTGATCAGAGAAGGCTACATCACCAAAGCCTAAAAGGGAAGCTGTTCTCCTTGGGACATTCGCTGTGTTATCAGAGACTGTGTTTCTTTTTTAAATGGTTGTCTCAGAAGGGCAAAGAGCTCTCTATGAAAAACTGGCTTCTCAAAACATTTTCTCTCTTCACTCCGCCCTAGAAAAGTTTGTCATGCATTATATCGCCGCAAACTGTCAGAAGGAGTTGTGGGGATGCATAAGCTGTCATTAAATATGAGTGGGCATTAGTTTCTCACACCTCTTGTAACCATAATAGAGGGAATGGTGGAGGATTTTTGCTCAGTGCTGCTAATGGCATAAGTACAGAAGTTCAGCCCTTGAACACATTTCCTGCCCACCCTTTGTGCGGGTGAAGCAGCAGCACTGCCATTTCTCCTTCCAGCTCTCAGGCTCGTGAATTAAAAATCTGTTTGGTTCAGGAGGCTCAGTGCGTGCTCGAGGAGCTGAAAACAACATGTTATGTTCAAATTCCAGCCATTCTAAAATTACACTGTTTAAAAAGGGAGGAGAGAGAATGCCTATTTAGAAAGATATTTTGGAAGCTAACAAGGACTGTTCATCTTCTGGTTTCAAAATATTTATTTTATTTTATTGAATTTCTAGCCCTCCATCCCCTGCATGCAAGGCTCCGGGCAGGTCACAACCGTATAATAAATTACAGTAAAATAATCAAACATAATATTGATCATTTTAAAATACAATTATAACATCATTTATGGTGCCGGATAATACACTACTCCTGAGTCCATTCCACATATGTGCATAACAGATGGTAACCAGTGTTACCGGAGGGGGTAGATGAGTAAAAGCCAAATAGAATGGAAAGGTGCCGGGGGAAGCCAGTACTGGTAGAACTCCACTGCCTCAATCGCAGGCCTGGCAGAACATCTGCGTTTGGCAGACCTTGCAAAAACTGTAGTAAGTCCCGCAGTGCCTGGATCTCTCTTGGGAGAGTGTTCCACCAGGCGGGTGCCAAGCTGAAAAGGCTCTGGCGCTGGTTGAGGCTAAAGTGGACCACCTCTGAGCTGGGAACCACCAGCAGATATTGATCCATTGAATGTGACGCTCTTTGAGAGACGGTCCTGAAAATAAGTTGGTCCCAGACCACATAGGGCTTTGAAGGTTAAAACCGGAACCTTTAACTTATTCGGAATTTGACTGGGAGCCAGTGCAGCTGGCATAGCATGGGTCGTATATGAGCTCTTAATGGTGTTCCTGTGAGAACTCTGCACTGAGAAATACCTAACTTTCATGTGCCAAGATTTTGCAAGTATGCTTGTTATGTAAGAAGTGGCTTCATCTGCGGACAATATTTAGCACGTTAAATATTAAGTTCAGAATTTGGGATATTTGGGACTTGTGAAGGTGTTTTCTCCTCTCCCAGATATTGCATTTCTTAATGATGCCATGCACCACTTCACTGCCCTGAACATGTTTCCTAAACACTGCATGCATGATGCCATGAAGGAACGTGAGTGCAACATTAAGAGAGTCAGCAACAACCTGTCAAAACAGTGGTTACAGAGAAAAAGGCCTCATGAGTCACAGAGAGAACATCAGCGGATACTACTCTGTCACCAGCTCAGCATCAGCGCTCTGGCATGAGCCAACAACACCATGCATTCTGCACAGAATTCCTTCCAGTCTACTATTGTGTAAACAGGCAAGGAGGCACCAGCCTCTTCCATACCAGCTCATCCTCATCAGATTTCCACATGCCTTTGAAGAGCAAAAGAAAAGCCAGCTCCAACTCTTAACCCCACCCCTAGAGTAAGAAATCACAAAGGGAGAGAGCCGGTGTGGGGGTGCAGTATCCAAAGGCATTTTGAACGATGGATTGCAGGCACTTTCATCTCAAGCCGTGTAGGAAGGCAGCATTTGACAGCAAGTTCTGAAATTAGACTTCTGCTTTGGCTGGAAGTCAAACACTGGGTTTTCAAGGCTCAAAACTGAGCCTGTGTCGGTGCAAGTGTCCCAAGGTACAAAGGAATGTCCTTGATGGGACATGTTCACATTGTCCCTATTTAATTATCCAGAACTTCAGCCAGAAAATGGGAAACAGCTTGGTGTGTGCTTTTCTGTCTGGTCCCTCTTAAGAAGAAGAAGAAGAGAAGAGATTGGATTTATACCCCGCCCTTCACTTGGAGTCTCAGAGCGGCTTACAAACTCCTTTCCCTTCCCCTCCCCACAACAGACACCCTGTGAGGTGGGGGGGGCTGAGAGAGCGCTTGACACAAACTGCTCTTTTTCAAGGACAGCTATGCCAGAGCTTGTGACTGACCCAAGGTCACATCAGCAGGTGCAAGTGGAGGAGTGGGGAATCAAACCCGGCTCTCCCAGATTAGAGTCCACGCTCTTAACCACTACACCAAACTGGCTCTCTGCTTCACTAAAGGAGCCTCCTTTATCCCTGCAACAACCAAGGTCTTCCAAAGAAAGGTCTCCCAGTTCTCATCTCCTTATAAAGAAAGGCACTTACTGGAAGCGGTACAATTCAAGTTCCTATAATCGATCCTTGGAGTCCCACGATGTGTCCTGAATGCCCTTCTTAGATTAGAGACTGGAATGATCCCCTTGGATATGTGGATATGCACATCTAACTATTGGCTAAAACTCATCTTCAATCTGGTGGCTTTAGCATCCTTGATCTTTGCCAATAGCCACTGTTCAACCTGGCACAGAGCAATTGAGGGGAAACTCCAGGAGCATGGCCTCTCCCCCCAAGTCTTACTGCGTCTTTGGTAGGGATGCTCATGAAAAAAAATCAGCTTCTTTTGGATTTGGGTCCATTGGACCTGAAAAATATCGGTATTTCCTGATATTCCCAGATCCCAATATCAGTATGATATTGGGGTTCAGGTAAATAATCAGAAACCCAAATTTATTTGGCATTTAAAAACGCCTCCCCTTCCCTCCCTGAGAATGCAAATTCCTGAGTCGCAATGCGACTCAGGGACGGAAGTGGAGGCATTTAAAAATGCCTTCCCTTCACTCGCAGAGTCACGCCGCCTTGGAAGCATGCCTCCACAAGTGAAATGAATGCCTTCTCCAAGCTGCACCACTGACCAAATCTTAAATATAACTTGTCAGAGGTAGGGGTGAGCAAAAAAACACAAAACGGTAAAATTCAGATTTGGATTAGACCCGAATTTTTTCGGGATTCCTGAAAAAAACCCAAATATCTATACCGGTAAAGCATAGATATCCGAAAAGTTTTGGGATTCCCGAAAAATTTGGGTCCATTATATCCAATGGGGCCATTGAAGTCAATGGCAAAAATCCTCTGGAAAGTTCGCAGGGAGCTGGGGGGGGGAGGGGGTTGGGGCTCCAAATTTGGACCGTGGCTGCTCCAGCCTCTCCCCCAAAGACCCCCAAAGTTTTGAGAAAATTGGTCCAGGGGGTCCAATTCCAGGGGCATCCAAAGAGGGTGCCCCCAGATCAGCTTGCTGCCTATTGCTGGTTTGCCGCTGAACTTCGGCGGCAATTTGGCTATATCCTATGGGCCATTTGGCACATAGGTTATATTCTGGGGGCTGGAGGAGAGGGGGTTTGCTGGAACCTCTCCCCAAGATACCCACCAAGTGTCAAGAAGATTGGACGAGGGGGTCCAATTCTACGGCCCCCCAAACAGGTTGCCCCCATCCCTCCATTGTTCTCTATGGTGGGAAAAAAGTTACCTTTTCCCCACCATAGAGAGAACAATGGAGGGATGGGCAGCACCTGTTTGGGGGAGCATGTTTGCATTGCCAGCCAGGCCCAGCACTGCAGCAGAACCATAGCGATCTGCCCCCCCCCCACAACCTGTGCTAAGGTGCCAGTCAGTGCCCAAAATCCAAAAACCAACAGAACTTGGTTCAAACCAGAGAATCTCTGCAGCAGCAGCATACATAGACTGAGGGAGCATGTTTGTGCATTGCCAATGCCAGCCAGGTCCAGCAGCAGAACCAGAGAATCTGCCCCCCCACAACCTGTGCCAATGTGCCAGGCAGTGCCCAAAACCCCAACCAACAGAACTTAGTTCAAACCAGAGAATCTCTCTGCAGCAGCTGCCTACGTAGACTAAGGGAGCATGTTTGCATTGCCAGCCAGGCCCAGCAGCAGAACCAGAGCATTCTGCCCCCCCACAACCTGTGTCAATGTACCAGGCAGTGCCCAAACCCCCAAAACCAACAGAACCAGACAACCTCTCTCTCTGCAGCAGCAGCAGCCTACATAGGGAGCATATTTGCATTGCCAGCCAGGCCCAGCAGCAGAACCAGAGCAATCTGCCCCTCACAACCTGTGCCAATGTGCCAGGCAGTGCCCAAAACCAACAGAACCAGACAATCTCTCTCTCTGCAGCAACAGCAGCCTACATAGGGAGCATTTGCATTGCCAGCCAGGCCCAGCAGCTCACCCACCCCCCCCCCCCCCCCCCGCAACAACCTGTGCCAGTCACTGCCCAAACCCAACTGGACTCAGGTCAAACCAGAGAATTTCTGCAGCATATAAACTGAAGGGGAGCAGGCAGGACCTGTGCAAGTGAGCAATCAGCTAGGGGTGTGCGATTCCCCACTCATCACATTAAGAGAGGCAAAGGGAGGCCAGAGGAACCCAAATGGCCCCAAATCAGAGTGGTTGCCAACTCCCCAGGGGGCACTCAAAGATTGAGATACCCACTTTCCCGGATTGGGGAATCATCCAGACGGGTCTCACTGTCCCTCTAGGAAGGCGGTGTGAATCCAGTGAGTGGTGGCAGCAACTAAGGAAGGAAAATAGCCCCACCCCCACCAGACAGGGGCAGGCGAAAACATCCCG